CCCCGGGGCAGCCACACTGAAGTCGTACCCCTTCGATTTCCGGGGGGCAAAGATCCTGTCGGGGGAAGAGGAAGGGGTCTTCGGCTGGGTCACCGCAAACTACCTCCTGGAGAACTTCATCAAGGTGGGCAGGGGACGGTTGTGGTGGCCAGGCTGTCCTGCAGCTCATCACATCCTTACGCCTGCTCTTGTCTGCCTTGCTCAGCGTGGGTGGCTTGGGGAATGGATCCAGCCCCAGAAGAAGACCGTGGGGGCCATGGACTTCGGGGGCGCTTCCACCCAGATCACCTTTGAAACCAAGGACACCATTGAAGACCCCAGAAACGAGGTGATGCTGAAGCTCTACGGCCAGGCATACAAAGTGTACACCCACAGCTTCCTCTGTTACGGAAGGGACCAGGTCCTCAAGAGGCTGCTCTCAAAGCTCCTCCAGGTACCACATGTGCTCAGTGAGCATGCTGGCTGTCACCACCCTGTGGTTGTTGCACCCCTTGGCCACAGCCAAGATGTTCTGAGTCATCTCAGGATGCTTGTGACAACTGCCAGCTCTGTGTCCTGCTGCTCCAGCTCCTCCGCATCTCCCTGGTAGGGAAATGGAGACAGGCAGGCAGCGGTGCTGGGGATGCTGGGGATATGGCACAGCTCATGTATCCCATGTGTTGCTTCTCCGGCAGGCTGAGCGCTACCAAGCAACCATCTCCCATCCCTGCTGGCCCACGGGCTACCACAAGAGCCTGTCACTGAGCAGCATCTACGACAGCCCCTGCATGGAGAAGGAGAGGCCCAGCCTTGCCCTCAACACCACCGTCAATGTGGTTGGCACCGGGAATGGGAGTCTCTGTGCTCTGCACGTCAGCAAGCTCTTCAACTTCACCACCTGCTCCTTCTCCCACTGCTCCTTCGATGGTGTTTTCCAGCCAGAGGTTTCAGGAAACTTCATCGTAAGTCCTGACTTGGAGCAGGGCGGTGGCCTGGCTTCTGGGTGGGTGGGTGTCTGGAGATGATGCCCAGCACCACACGGCAGCAAAGCCAGGCCCCCGTCCCTGCAAGGGTGGTTGCTTGTGCCCACCACGCCAGTCAGAGCAGCTGTTTGCAGCAAGAGGGTTTGCTCCCAGGCTGTCCCACAGCTGCCTCCTTTCCTTCATCAGGCCTTCTCTGCCTTCTTCTACACTGTTGACTTCATCCAGACGGTGATGGGGAGACCCGTGCACTTGCCCAGCGACCTGAAGGATGCTGCCATGACCATCTGTGCCACCAGCTGGAGCGAGGTGGGCACCTCAGGCATGGCGGGGGGAGAGGGCCACTTTGTCTGGGGCATCACCCAGGCTCTGAGCACAGCCCTTGGAGGGGGCTGGGTGTCCTGGCACCCATGGAGCAGGGGGAGGGTGGGTGACGACTCCCACATGGGACCAGGAGAGGCTCAGGTGGGTATGGGCAGCACCTTGGCCAGCCAGATGCAACCACACAGAGCTTCAGGCCACAGAAACAAAGCCCAGACCCTCTTGGCTTGACCCCTTTTCTCTGTCCCTCCATGCATCCCACCCAGCTGCTCCAGAAAGCCCCTAAGCTGGAGAAGAGACTGCCGGATTACTGCGCTGTCAGCATGTTCGTTTATTTGCTCACCACCAAAGGCTACAACTTCAACAACCATTCCTTCCCCAAAATTGCCTTCCAGAAGAAGGTGGGTAACATCAAAGCACATACCCATCCCATGGTATCTGTTTGCAATTAGGCCAAAGAGCCTGGCAGGAGACAGGATCCCACACCAAGAAAGAGCCAAGCAATGTGAGGGAAGATCTTGGCAACAGGGGCAGGATGGGACTCCCAGTTTTTGATTGGATCTTCTGGAGATGGAAAAAGAAATGAGCTGAGCTGACGGTAGGGTGGTCATGGAGTCAGGTCCTCCAGTCCTTTCTTGCCCTCAAGACACCAGCCATCTCAAACAACTCTTTGGTCAGGCTTGTTGGGAAGTTATCTCAGGGCAGGATCCCACGTTTGCCAAGTGCCTTCACCTGCCTGAGCCATGAGATGGGCAGCGAGATCAGGACTGGCCTGAGCAGACAAGATCCAGTGCCCACTGGATGAGCCCAGCTCAGCACAGGGTGGTCACTGCTTTGTCCTGGGTTGGCTGGACCCATGGGCAGGTGAGGGCTCAAGGTGCTATGGACTCCCCACACCGCTCTCCTCCATTGGGCTGACACCAAGGTGGTCCCTGGAAGGTCCCTTGAGGCCTGTGGAGCTGGGGTGCCAGGGGTGATGACCACACCATGCTCTTTCCACAGGCAGGAGAAACCTCCATCGGCTGGGCTCTGGGCTACATGCTGAACCTCACCAACATGATCCCAGCAGAGAAGCCCTCCTCTCACAAAAGCATGCTGTACAACTACTGGGTCTTCCTCATCCTGCTCTTTGTGGTCACCACCCTGACATCTCTGGTGACTGCTGCCTGCCTGCTCCAGCGCAGCAAGTCCAGTGCGATCTAATGGCAGGGACAGGGTGGGCCTTGTCCACAGGACCCAGCTCTATCCTTCCCACTGGAATCTCCATGGCCTGACCACTTGGGATGCGTCAAGTGCTCAGAGATGTCCTCCTCTGATATCTGATGCTGCCTGTCCCAGAAGTAAAGCCATCCCTTTTGCCCTCCCCTTGCTTTCAAGCTGCAGAAGGGGGGGGCAGAAGAGGACCAGGGCCCCTGCAGGCTTTGGGGTTTCCCAGTGCTACTCAGGGATGGACCCCGGAGCAGGCTCAGGATCTGGGCCTTCAGACCTGGGGCATCTTTCCACCACCAGACCTGGGCTCGACTGGGCCAGTAAGTCCAGATAAGAGCAGGATTTATTCTCACGTGCATGGGCAGGGATGATAATACTACACTAGCCCTTAGAACTGACCTCTCTAGCCTGTCCCCGGAGCATCTGCACTGCCTCCCGGGGAGCGCTGGGCATCCCCTGCAGCCCATGCTCTCTTCCTGGCCGATGCACAAACCCCACTGACCTTCCTGAGGACCAGATCTTGGCCTGGGCTTGCACCAGCCTCAGCACAGGGTCTTAGGGCAGGGTCTTAGCAGCAACCAGATGTGGGCAGGAAGCAGCTTCCCAGGTCCCGCTTCAGCAACCAGACGCGGTGCCTTCCCCATTCCTGTGGTTCCTAAGCCAGACTAACCCTTGCCACAGTCAGAGCCCCCTCTGTGCCCCCAGCAATGGCACAAAAGCCCCTGTAGCTCCCTGGTACACGGCCACACCAGCACACAGGTGCTGGGCTCACTGCAGGAGTGGGGCTTTGCGCTGCTTTAGATTTGAGCCCTGCATCACCCACGCCAGGCAGCTGGGAAGAGGCACCTTCCCTTCCAGTTGAGTAAGAACTGGGACATGCAAACATGCAGAAGGTTTGGTTTTGTTCAGTTGTCTTTTTTATAATCAGAAATAAATCTTTGTAACCACTCCTGTGTCCCTGAGGCTCCTGACACAGCAACAGGCTGACCAAGCCTGGCTGTCCCACAGGGGTAGAACCGCTGATGGGGTCTACTCGGACACAGCCGCAGGTCTGGCTCTGCCTGAAGGTCTCAATCCCTTGCAGCCTGCCCAGTGCTGAGACACCATTGTGGCTTTGTGTGCTCTACCAGCCTGGAGAGCCCCCCCAAGATGGACAAAGGTGGGCTTGAAACCTCTCTCCAGACTCAGGCCCACCCAGAGATGGAAGTTTCCCCCAGCCACAGTTGCAAAGTTGAGCCTTACCAAGCGCTAGCAGTCGGTCCAGCCACCCCCAAGACGCGAGCAGGCAGGGCCCAAGCTGACTCTGCCCCGTGCATTCACCGCTGCACTCACAGCCACAGCCTCCACACAAGGAAAAGGCATTGGGAGCCTCTGTTCCCAGGGGATGGGTCTGGCACCCAAGCAGGGCAGGAGAGCAGCCCGCAGGGGTCGGCACTTTGTCTGTGCTGTTGTTGGCAGCTCAGCCACCATGGCACACGTTCAGCCTGGGGCCTGTCCCAACCTGCCAAGCCCATCTGGAAAGAGCCTCCCACCCCACCATGTTCTTCCTCACACCCCAGGAGAGGAGCGGCTCTAGTGCCAGCCGCAGTTTCTCACTGCCTTCCTTGCTCTTGCAGGCAGCACAAGCTCCGCTTCCTACTCCGGCTGGGCTCCCAGTAACACTATGCTTGGCTTTACCCACTGGGTCCCCACAGCCACTTCGCTTTTGGCTGTTCTGGTGGCTGCTCCCCATCCCTCCGCACAGCCCCACTGTGACGCCAGTTCAAGTGATGTTCTGAGCCCCCAAACCCAGCTCCTTCCCCCGGCCCCTCGTCTCTCCAGCACCGGGATTCCCTCCTGTGGTGAGGCTCCGGGACTGTCTCCAGCTCTGACATGGCCAGAGCCATCTGGGCTCTGAAGTTGAAACGCTGCGGCTCTGCTCCAAGAAACCAGCTGGCTTCCAGAACACAGGCTGGGCTTCCCCTCCCGTGAAATTCAGCTGCAGCTGAATCAGCGCTGGAGATCCACCAGGAGCAGCTGGTTTGCCCTAGTCAGGACCTGAAGTTTGCTGTTAGGAAAAAAGTGAAGAATCTTCCCATGTGCCTCTCTGGATGCGTGGGATTCGAAACAGGCCCGTTCCTTTGGCAGCTGGTTACAGATCTGGATGGGTGACATGCCCCAAGAGCAAGGTGGGCACTGCACAGAGGGGCTCTGGGCACTCGTGCACCCCCTTTGCGGGGGCAGAGAGGGCACTCCAGAGGCCATGCAGCTGCAGGGCTTGGCTCAGCCCCATCCAGGCAGGCGAGAAAAGCTGTGCTGCTACGGGGGCAGGGACAGTGTGACCAGCAAGGCTCACAAGACAGAGAGCACATGGGAACAGCTCTGCCCCCTCGCAGCTTAGCCCAGACCCGTCCATGCCTGCAGTCACTTCATAGCCCTGCGCTGTTGAACTGCAGGCGCTATGGCTGCAGAGCAACCGGAGCTCTCTGCTCCGACACTTACTGCAAGGGCTGCCTCAGGGTGATGATTACTACCTGCACCCCAGCTCTTCCTGTCCCACCACCAGCTTTTGCTTTATCCACAATGTGCACTATCAGCTCTTTACTTTTATTGTACTCTCTGTGTGCAATGTGCGGAGGCCACATGGAGGCAATGATCCCTATGGTGCCTCCACCACGCTCCCACTGCAGGATCGACTCATCCGAGCTCCCGGGCAGTGCCATGGAGCCCACCAGCCTCTCAGGCAGCACAGGCGCAGGCAGTCAGGCAGGTGGGAAGGGGCGAAGCAGGACACGAGCACGGTGCGCTGTGCTCTGCTGGCTACTCCACCATGTCCCCATACTTGTTCCTCCTCACCAGTGGTGCTGTGCTCTCTCCATCCTCTGGGCTGGGTGGATTTTCTGCAACAGAAAGAACAAGCTCCGTGGACCCCTGACTATCCCAGTGTGTTTGCCAGGGGCAGCAGAGAACCACAGAGCTGGGCCCAGCTTTGGGAGTTCAAGGTTACCAGTGGGAGAAGGCAGCAAGCAGCCGTGGGAACTGTCCAGCAGCGGCTGTCCTGGTGCCCCTCCAGCTCTGCCCACTGTACAGAGCAACCAAGGTGCGGAGAGGTTTACTGCCTCCCTCCATCCCTTACCCTATTCCTCCTCTTCCAGCAAACAAGCCCCTCACACTGGCTCTCGTGAATCTACAAAGCAGGCAGGGCAGCTGGCAGAAGCGAGTGCTCCCACCCCATGCCACCAGCCCTGCTCAGGTACCTGCAAGCACTGACAGTGGGCCTGGAGCATTGAGGGACACGGGAACCACACGAACAGGCAGGGAGCTCTGGCCACCCTAGCACTGCCACCACCCCAGGCGCCTGCTCCAATCCCTCAGCTGCAGGGTGCCAGTGTGGGACTTACATGGGGATTTTGGCAATGACAGAAACAATCACCAGCTTAATTATGAGGTGGGAACAGCAAACTGTTACAGCAGGGAAAAACCAGGCAGGACAAGCCCAGGGAAAGCAGCAGGGAGAGACGTGAACATACCTGCGGGCTGAGCCACTCTACCAGCCATGGCAAGCTCCTGTGGGGACTTGCCTGTCTCCAGATAAATCCAGAAGTTGGAGCATTTCTGTGTCTCAGCTCTGGTTACCACATAGCTGGTGAGGGACCCTGCGGCTGGAGAGACCACGATGCTCCCGAGAGCGCTGGCAGCAAGGGCAGCGGGGGGAAAGCACCCACCG